CGTCGTTGCAGCTGTGGCCGAGAGCGGCGGCCGCCATAACTTTTTAAAGAGCCCCTAACTTTGTTGGTCTTAAAGGTGCCCCTGGACTCAGACGTTGTTGCACCTGAGAGGACGCTCTGCATGCATCAGGCAAGCCTGAGAACTGCAAGCGAAGCCATGTTGGATCAGGCCACTGGCCCATCCAGTCCAACACTCCGTGTCGCACAGTGGCCAGAATCCAGGTGTCATCAGGAGGTCCACAACAGCGGGGCCACAAGACTCCTCTTTGGAACACAGTTGACTTAGTTCTGAATAAGCATGCATGAGATTGCGTCTGTCCGCCTTGAGATAATAATTGTTACTAAAGCAAAGAATAGCACCCCTCTGAGCTCATATTACTCCTGGATGAACGACGGTATAGCTGCAGTTTGTAACGGAAGTGGGATATGTATCACGCTAGTATGTTTGTACCTCTATGGAGGCGAGTAAACCTTTTTCTTTTGAGCCTCGTGCGCGTGCGCGCGAGTCTTCAACCTATCCCGATTGCACCACCCCGGTTTTGTATATCTGGAGAGACTGGGGGGGGGGGGGGGGGGGGGGGGGAGGGACATGGCTATGCATTTCGGGTTCCGTTTGAACGCCTCCATTTGCGGGGCAAGGAGCGTTGATCTGACTTTTCCCGTCTCTACGAAAGCAAAATAGTGGCGCAGAAATGTACCACCTCTTGTATTCGAGGCTTTAAAAAAAGTGTCCTTTTGTTCCTTTTAAATACTGGTTGACACGCAACAGAAATAGAAAAAAAAATGCAAAAATGCTTTCTCAGTCTCTCTTTATTAGCGCTTCGGGTCCAACTTTCCATTGCAGGGGGAAAAAAGTTTCCACCATAGAAAGAGAAATTAGTTGGCGCTCGTCCATCATAGGGTTTTTTCCAGTGGCACTTGCGTTTCACCATTTATTTATTCTAAATAAAGCAAGCATTATAGGTAGCTTTGTCGCAGAAGGGCAGTACTTTATTGTTACCAACTAAAAAGTGGCACAAAAGTTACTTCTATCCGAATTCTTACACCCTGAATAAAAGCTGCACGAAAAGCTCACCAGAATAAAACTTTTATTGGTCTTAAAGGTGCCCCGGCGAAAACGTAGTGGAACCGGAAACGTAGATCTCCTTGTGCTGCGAATCCCCTTTGACGTAATGTAAAAAAAAAGTGGGACAGGAATTCTCTCCTTTAAAACATTCTCCGATACTTTTATTGGACGAGCCTCTCTATGATGAACAGCGAAGGGCAGATGTGCGTTAGAGGCTTTGATTGGTGGTTTACTCAATCAAGCCCCTCCCCTTCCAGAGTTAGACGCTTTCACTTCCTCCACATAGAGCGACCAGGTTGCTAAGCAACAGACAGAATTGGACTGACTTTCTGCAAGGAAGCGGTCTTGTGTCGTTTATTTTTCTCTCTTTTCTTTTTTTGCAGGGCTTCTTTCGGGTGAGTCTGTCAAAAGGATCAAAGACTTATAACAGCTTCCATACAAGGATATGTTAATTTTTTAAAAATTCTTGCTAAAAGAGGGCTTCATAAAGATCTATAAAATCATGAACAGTCTGGACAAGGTGGATTGAGAATTTATTCCCACTTCGCTCCACCCCCGATAATATTAGACTTTGGCTTCCCCGGAAGAAATTAGCAGTCTGTACACTCTGGGACTGGATCCTCCATGTTCAAAGGCAGTGCAGCTTTTATTGTGTATGCAGGTTCACTGTAAGCCTCAAAAACCAAATATTGGCTGATATACCTGAATTTAAATAACTAACAATGCTAGCCTGGCATGTATACATGTAACAAAATTCAGTGGGTGTTATTCCCGAATAAGAATGCTTAAGATTGTGTCTTAAATTTGTGGACAGGGTTGCCAACAGACCTGATGAAAAATATCTTTTGAAAATGGGCAGGTTCAATATTTCATGGCATGGGGGTAAATAGCATCCCATTTAGCCTCTGTTAAAAGGACAGGGCTTTTTTTCCTCCACCCAGCAGCTGGCAACCCTGTTTGTGGGGAAGGACAGGGTTTGTGGGAGACTGGGCCTTTCACCCTGCAGGCTTTCTATACATTGACTCTGTTTGGGGTTGCCTGTTCCATCTGCAGTCCTAAGTGTTCTTCTCTGGAAGTTCCTTTGATGGCTGTGGGACTGGAAGCTTGATCCCTTGCATGTTTACCTGAAAGGAAGCCTCACTATTGTCGTAAGCAGATTTTTATGTGACACTTCACAGAGTAAGAGAAACAAAAAAAATGAAGAAAATTAGATGGCTGTTTACTCCAAAGAGCTTACAGTCTTAACAGCCTGAGCTTATCCATGTTTAGTCAGAAATAAATCTCACTATTATGTGTATTACTCTAAAGTAAAAAATGCTGCAGTCCTGTGTAATGTTCCCTCTAAGCTGTGAAGTCCTGTGAGCAAAAATTCTACTTTGTGAGTTCCTGGCATTAAAGTTGTGAGCAAGCGATTTGGCTACTGCATAAATTAGTTTGCTCTGGAGCCGTCCCTTCCTGAGCTAAGACAAAAATGGGTGAGCTGGAGGCTAAAAAACGGTGAGCTAGCTCACACTGACTCAGCTTAGAGGGAACACTGGTCCTGTGTAAAAATAGGTCCTTTTAAATACACCGAGATTCACGTTGAAGAAGATGTCAAAGCTACTTCAATGTGGATGCACTATCGCCATCTATGTATTACTTGTGTCATGTCTTCTCTATTTCTTAGTCAGATATAAACTGCTGTGGGGGGGCCTTTTGCTGTAGGAAAAAAGGACAAAGTATAAATGTGTGTTATACAGAGGGTTGCCAACACATCAGGAGAAAAATGTCCACAGGCTTAATGTGTGGAAATGGAAAGCTGAAGCTTTTCATGGTATGGAGGTAAACAACATGCCCTTAAGCCTCATTTTAAAAGACAGGATTTACTTTTCTTCAGGCAGTTGGCACCCTTGTCTAGGGTTGCCAACTGCCTGGAGAAAAAATGTCCTGTTCCTAGGCTACAGTCACAAACACTAAATAATCTACTTTCAATACATTTTCAGTACACTTTCCAACTGGATTTTGCCAGTTCACACAGTACAACCCAGTTGGAAAGTGCACTGAAAGTGGATTGAAAGTGGGTTATTTAGTGTGTGTGATTGCAGCCTAATAGAGGTTTAAAGGTTATTTAGCAGGATGGGATGTTTCTTTACCTCTGTGCCATGAAAACCTTACCTTACTATTTCTAAACCCTTGTTCAAAGGACAGGGCATTTCCCCCCAGGGCTTTTGGCAACCCTGGGCCACACTTTGGTATATCTGTTGGACATGGGCCTAGGATTGCATGCACTCACCATGACACATGGAAAGTAATGGCTGAGTCCCTTATATAGTTATATGCACTATGCACTCATTTGAAAGCTTCACAGAAAATTACTTATGTACAATGGTAGGCCTGAGCTCCACTGTAGTCTGTCAGTCTAAACTGGCTCATGCAGGCTTTCACCCTCCCCTGAAGTAGCCATTACCAAACCCTTCCTAAACCACTGAACCTTACAAACACAAACCATATAATTCTGTCTGCTTTCACAACAGTGATCCTGATACTCCTCATTAAGATTAATATCAGCCCAGCAGTGCAGACACCTGGCTGTTTTGCCCTATTCCATAAATATTATCCACCAATGAACCCCAAGCTATTCCTCAGTCAGAGTTCACCTCTTTTCCCATCCTCCTGCCTGACTTCTGCCTTTTCTCCCTCACCCACCAGCTGCCTCTGAGAATATCTACCGTGCTACACAGTCCAAACCCATAGGTCGTCATCATTCTGTCTTTGATTGCAAGAGCACCACAAATGTTGATGCACCCGTTCCATCGTGCATCTTCTTGTCATTTTACACACACTTGTGCTACTGAACTGCATTTCTGTTCTAATTCTGCCACGTAAATTGTTTTATTAGCAGATCTACTCACGGAAGCCAGAAGTATCAAAGCATCTGGAAGTCTTGGGGTCCAAACGGCTTAAAAGCACATACTGTGAGCATATCCAGTTGACAGCATGGCAACCAAAGTGCTGTCTTCATCCCATGACTCTGTTGACCGGAGCCCTGTGAGCGGGTCCCCGGTGAACCGAATTTCCCCAAGGATGACTATCAAAACCCCATTAAAGATCCTGGATCCTGGTAGGTCAAAACTAACCACTGTTGAGACCAAGAGGATTATATCTGTCTTGGATGACACCATCATTAAGGTAGAGCTGGTTACTATGTTCTCACACGTTCTGGAGAACCTTGAGGATTTCAGCATAATGTTGGGTCAGGAACTTTGGGGGGCTCTTAAAGAACATCTGCGGCTTTCAAATAATATGGAAGCCGTGGTTGCCCGCCTCGAGAAAGAAGGACTTCTGCTTAAGGGCATTGCAAAAGGGAACCTATTTGCTGCAGAGGATGAAAGCGGCCAACTTCACCTGCATGTCGAAGGCTTAAAAAGTTCGGTCCGAAATATTGTGCGCTTGTTCAATATGAACCCCATAGCTGGTCGGGCAGTGAGAGATACTGCTTTTGCCAGGAGTCCAACCGCTGACATCTTGCTTAGAGGCCTGTTGGCTCTCAGAAAGTTTCTGTTTGAGATGCTTCTCACCACTCCATTGGAAGAAAAAGAGAAAATGAAGTTTATGCAAGAAATTGCCCTCCGAGACAGGAAAAACATGGAGATGGTTGCAGCTTTGGAGGATGAACTTGCATCAGCGATTCACAGTCGCGATGAGGAGGTACTGGGGAGGGGGAGTAAGGGTACAATTAGACAGCTGATGGTCAAAGCACTTACTTTATTTTAAGTATTTCTTGCCTATCCATTAATAACACTTGAACTGATTTACTGTGTTTAAAAAGAAGATACAAAGCTAAACCAGTAACTAGTATAAACAATAGTAAGAGCGCAGAATATAAACAGCCCTTAAAAGAAGCCATACAAATTGTTAAAGAAACAATGCACATTATTATTATTAAAAAAAAAAAAATTCAAAGCCCTGTGTGGCCAGGGACCAGCGTATCTACAGGACCTTCTCTCCCCATATGTGCCCCGTAGACCCTTGCGCTCTGCAGACCAACATCTCCTGGTAGTCCCCAGCCCAAAAGGTGTCCGTTTAGCCTCAACCAGGGCCATGGCCTTTTTTGCCCCGGCCTGGTGGAACACACTCCCATCTGAGATCAGGGCCCTGTGGGACTTGTTACAGTTCCTCAGGGCCTGTAAAATGGAGCCGTTCCGCCAGGCCTTTGGTTGAGGTGGCGGATGCCTTCAGTTGAGATGGCGGACATCCATTCCTTTCTGTCCTCCCCGCTCACAGTCTTTGTCACTGTGTCTCGTCCAAACTGACCCTGCTAGAAGATTGCCAACTGCACGAGGCACTTGAATGCTACATCCTGTCACCATTGTTGCCATTACCTGTTTATTTACAGTTGCTTTAGATTTTATGTTTAACACTTTTATGTTTGTTAACCTGTATACTGTTACCCACCCTGAGCCCACTTGTGAGATAGGGCGGGATATTAATAAATAGAATAAATTAATTAAGTGAATGCCCAGGCAGAAAAATGTTACAGCCCGGTGCCTAAAGCTTAACAAAGAAGAAGCTGGCCATATGATAGTCAAGGCACTACCACTGAGGAGACTCTGTTTTTTCCACCTTGCTTTGGGAGGGGGAGACATGAAGTAGTGACCCATGCCAACCTTTTATCATTAATGTGAGCAAGTTTCTAACCAGACAATTGATGGAAGAACACAGGTACCCCGTTCACACATTACAGTGAATGCACATACATCCAATGTTCCCTCTAAGATGAGTTTTTTAGCCTCCAGCTCACACATTTTTGTCTTAGCTCAGGAAGGATGGCTCCAGAGCAAACTAATTTATGAAGCAGCCAAATGGCTCGCTTCCAACTTTAATGCCAGTAGCTCACAAAGCAGAATGTTTGCTCACAGGACTCCACAGTTTAGAGGGAGCACTGCATACATCCCGCCTTTACATGTGTACAATTGTTTGTAAGAAGAGCCAACTTTACAAACAAAACTGGGGACCACTACCTGGATAAATAATGGCTTTCAGTTGCATGTTCCTCTGTACATACATTTAATGTAAAATGAAAATTACTTAGTGCTACTGAATGGTTTAGTGCACATATAAAAAAAAGTCAAAGGTACAGTATACACTGATTGTACATGCATTCACTGTAACCTGTGCACAAGAGTATAGATTCATTTTTGTGTTAAGCCAATAGGAGAGCAGGAGGAAATAGACAGGGTGCTTCTGTGGGCTGGGATGCTCTTCCCAAGCTGAAGGGAGAGGGCAGCTAACTGTGTGGAGAGCAGCCCTTCCCACCAGCTCTTGGATAAGTGTTCTGCCAGAGGGACTACAGAGTTCATACGGTAAAGACCAGAGCTGCAGTTAAATGAGCCAGCCTTCCCCATGGGATCCCTCAACCTCCGTTTCTTCCTGACTTCAAGACATTTTGAGAGGAAGAACAAGAGTAGTTGGTGACAGCACCATGCCCTGTGGCCTCTGAGACACATGTCCTCCCCGCAAGAGCCTGTGTTCTCCCACTTCAGGTTTGGGGCAAGGTGGAGAAACGCCTCAAGTGTGTACTTATGCTTTTGGTGCTGCTGGGTCTGCAAAGGGGCATCCTTATTCCTCTGATGGTAAGTCAGGTAGAGGACCAGTTCAGTAGAGAAGGAGGACCAGGCATACTATACAAATATGCAAAAGACCAGGTGCTAGCAGCAGCAATGGTCTGTGAGAATTAAGACTTTTTCAACTGTGGCTACTTACTACTTTGTCCACCAGAATGGCCAAATACACGCCGACTGGGGGAAAGAGCCAATATGCTAGAGTGTTAGAGTGGTTGGACCAGAGGTCATTTCGGGGGGGAACGCAGTTCCCCCGGGTGAGGTGCAGGGGGGCGGGGCACATGACAAAGCCCCGCCCCCTGCTTCCAGCTGCCCCGCTTCCGGCCCTCATTCAGCCAGGAGGAGGCAGGAGGAGAGGGAGGGTAAGTTGCCTCCTCCCCGTCTCTCCTCACCCCTGCCTGCCTGGGGCCAGGGAGGGCCTTCGCGGGGCTTCCTCGCACTCCCGCTGGCCTTGCAGGTCCACCGCCGGGCCCCTGATGTCAGGGGGTGTGGCATATGCTAATGAGTTATGCTAATGAGTTCCCCTAGTTCTTTTTCTATGAAATGACCCCTGGGTTGGACTAGGACTGGGGAAACCTGTGTTTGAATCTCCACTCATCCGTGAAGCTCAGTGGATGATCATGGCCTAGTCACTCTCTGTCATAGCCTCCACTACCTCATGGTTGTTTGGAGCACAAAATGGAAGAATGTACCATGTACACTACCCTGAGCTCCTTGGAGGAAGGCTGGAATGAAAAACTGATAGACAAAGGAAAAGGCCCCTGGCAGCTGGTTGACTTCTACATGTATTATTAGGCTAGGGCAACCATCTTCAGCCGATTGATCAGGATCCTCGGGTGTGTCGTGGAGCCTGACTTGCTGGGTTGTGAGCCTCTACAGAACTCCTTTGTTGTTGTGTTGCTAGTGCATGTGCATTTGTGTGTCTTTGCATGAGTATTGAGAGTCCCATCTATTGTTCAGATTTCCAAGAAGAACACCTCCATCAGGGAACTGAAAACCCACTTACACAATCTAGCTAAGTTTTCTGACAACCAAATCCAGCGTACCAGAGCCGAAGTGGAGAAGCAACAGAAGGGGGAACTGCGCAGCTCTCAGGCAAAGTGCGCCAAGATGTTGCAGGACATACAGCAGTTAAGGGCCCAGCTCAATGCCCTCATTGCAGAAAATCGAGAGTCGGAGTTCACTCTTCGAAAGGTAGCTGCAGGGTGATGGAATTCCATAGGATATTAGGGTTGCTATAATAATTTATTTATTTATTTATTTTTCATATTTATACCCCGCCCTCCCCAATGGGCTCAGGGCGGCTCACAAAGGCAAGGAAAAAAACCGAGCCATAATTAAAACATATGATACATAATAAAAACATCCAATCATTAAAACAGTGGTGCTCAATCAATTATTAAACATAAGTCCAAGATGGCTCGGCTCAGTTCTTCTCCAGAATCTTCTGACCATTCCCAAGTTCTTCCTCAGGGCCTCGCAACGTCCTCTAGGTGCAATGGCGGTGATGGTATAGTGGGGCGGCGGCTCCTACTCAAAAGCCTGGCGGAAAAGCTCTGTCTTGCAGGCCCTGCGGAACTGCATAAGGTCCCGCAGGGCCCGGATCTCCCCTGGGAGCTCATTCCACCAGGTAGGAGCCACCACCGAAAAAGCCCTGGCCCTAGCCACAGCTGATTTAGCATCCTTGGGGCCTGGAATGTCCAACAGATTTTGGGCCCCTGACCGTAGTGCTCTTCGCACTTTGAAGCGAATCCGGTATGCTATTAAACGTCCAGGATCAGAGTAATAAAACAGCCCTGCACAATTTCACACCTGCTAAGCCAAGTAAACCCAGCCTGGAGCTTGATAAACTTCCTTGCTTTGCAAGAATAGGAGGGTTCTTTATGTACTTGGCAAGCCACAGTACCTTGGCTTCAGAGGATTGCCACAGATGAACTACAAGCCTTCGACAGTGTGTCTGGGTGGCATTGTTGTGCTTGTGGCATCCCTGTTACCACCTGTGACATGTCAGGTGGTATGCAAATTTGACAGTACAACACAAATTACCACGGGGCATCAGGGCTAGTGGACTGTTTGGCTTTGCGGGTCACTCACAAGTTGCGCTGTGGAAATGGTAGTGTTTTTAGGACTGGTAAACAAGAGTGGAATATTTTATCTTTGCAACCTACTATTTATTTTAGCGTAAGCGGGGAGCAGGCTGCCCTGAATATCATTTTAATTTGGATACTGAGTGGCTATTCCCCCCTCACCCCCATCTGCAGGGAAAGCACACCTCCTATTTGGAACACAGTGAAGCTCTTCAGTCGTACCAGCTGTTATGAACTGACTGCGCAGGAGCCCACTCATGTTACAAAATGTATTCCCAGCCCCCACATCACTGCCTGGAGAAACGCAGGACTATTCCTAATATAAGTAATAGGTGTAAACTGTAGCTATTTGGGGGGAAAGAAAGCAGTGACCAGTTCCTAGCCAGAAGCTGTGTTCGTAGACTGAGACTATCAGACTCCTTAAAGCTGATGTGAGTTTCGCTGTCCAGTGCTCTTCTTCGTGGTGCAGTGATGGGACTGCCCTGCCTATGTGTGTCATTTCTAGATAAGATAGCCTGATTTCTAACTGGACGTGTGTTTTTTTGTGTGTGTTGTCTACTTTAGAAGAAATACAAAGTGGAGATAGAAATAGAGAACTGGATCCAGAAATACGACATTGAGATGATAGAAAAACAGGTACCGATTATCCTACATGTTTTGCTTTGAGCCGCTTTCCGTCTCAGGAATTTTCTCCTCAAGAGCGTCATTTCAAAAAACACGAAGCAGCAAAATCGTTCAGGGTTCTGGCATGGGATGGCTCTTCCTTCTCCTTTGCATCTGATGGAGGGTGTTTCTTACCTCAAGGTCACCACACCAAGCTATTCCTCCCACCTCCTAATTAGATGGAACAGCTCTGCTGGTGCTGAACTGGGCATCTGGATCGGGGTCCTCCTCCAATCAGCTTGTATGGCTGACCTGTACTACACCCAGGGCCGATTGCAACACCCTGACACGGTTTGGTCATCCGTTCTATTTCTGTGCAGTCAAAAGGAGGATTGGGTACAAAAAATGGCAAAATGAGATGACAGGAAGAATAATCAGGGATGCTGAGAAGTGGGTTCCAAAGTGGGGGGAAGGGGGACCCAAGCCACAGTCCCAGCAGAGTAAGAACACAAGCATAATAGGACTTCCTAGACTTAGGACAGATGGGAGCTCCTTTGGGGAGCTTTCATTAAGCAGAAGCAACTAGAGCCCCCCCCCCTCAATGCACTGACAGGAGTGCAGTGCCTGCACACAGAGGCAGGGTCCATGTATATGCTCCCTCCCCATGATGGAGTACACTGCTTGCCAAACATAGGAAGGTAATGGATGCGTGAACATAAGCTGGCAACCATGCAGAAGCAGGACCGACACACTCAATGCCTGTTCTGGGCGCATTTAGTCAATGCATGGAGGACTCATTTGCCGAGGACTAGAAAGGGACTATATGCTGTGTACACCAATGTTGTTATGACAACAGCTCCCAGGGAAGGATCTTTCCCAGTTCTACTACCTAAAAACGTTGTGGCTGGAGGGATTGTACCTGAGACCTTCTTCTCTACTGCTGATCTCTCCTTACTTGTAATATATGAAGTTACTTTATAATGAGATAAGGACTTATTCTCCATCTAGCCCAATGCTGTCAATTCTGACTGCCTCTGACTGGCCATGATTTTGTCCCAACATCTCCCACCTGAGATCCTTTCAGTCAGAGGCTGGGATTTGAACCTGTGCCTTGGCACACACCACATCTGAGCCTTTCCCCTGCATAGCCTCCAATGCCAAGGATGAACACCCCCTTCCAGCAAGCACACGCTGCCTTAGATTTAGCCTTGTACTTTTGAAGACTTAATCTTTGGAAGAGGGGATGGTGACTTCTGCCCATCCTTCCTTCCCACTACGGACACCCAGTCTGCCCCCTGCGTCACCTTTAGTGTTGTTCCTTTCCATCTACTGATTCCCTAGCAATAAAATGGGGAGCCCTCAGTGGCCTGTAGCAAGAGGGGGAAGTGGGAGAGACCTGCTTGGGAAGATCTGCACCGTAAGCGGCTCCGGTTAGATACAGGCTGCTATTCTGTACCTCGCTCGGTTTCTCCCAAACTGAAATAAAAGTGGAATTTTTAACCCCCTTCACTCCATTGTGAACCAAGTCACATCTTGGGCACCTAGCGCTGAAGAGATTTCTCAGTGAAAAATACTAAAATCTCTTTTGCTGATCAACCACCCTTTCCCCAGTGTAAAGAGCCTTCGGTGGATGGAGCAACTGTGGCTGTCCCTCCTGTTCCATTCAAAATGCAGCTGCCAGCCAGGCCTGTAGATGCAGGGCCACATCTCTGGGTACCTTTCCTCTAACTAATGGCCTGTTCCTATCCTATCAGGAGGAGCTGGAGGAGATCGATGTGGTCTACAAGGTGGAGAAGGCCCAGCTGGAAGAGCTGAGGGAGAAGTTTGCCATACTCGATGAAGAGTTCAGCCAGATCCAGGAGGAGAGGCGGCTGAAGCAGGAACAGAGGGAGAAAGCCGAGAAAGAGCTGGCGATTCTGGCCCGGGCCGCCACCCTTATCCAGGCCTTGTGGAAGGGCTACCTGGTGAGGTCACTGTTGAGGACCAAGAGGAGAAGGAAAGGCAGAGGGAAGAAGGTCAGGAAATAAATGCTGACCCTTTCCTGCCTATTCAAAACAGCCAACTGTGCCAGATCCGGATAGTTTTAAATAGAGATTTTGATCAGTAGAGGTGAGGTTGGTTCCTTAATAAATGTAGGTCAACCAATAAATGTAAGTCAACCATTCAGACTTCCCCAGGAGCTGTTTTCCATTCTCTCTCACACACTGGGTTCCCAGTGGCTCTCCTTTTAGATCTTGGTCCAGTGATTCAGCTTGCAAATCAGTATATATGTACTCCCCTGCTGTAAAGGAGAATATCAGTAGGTCAGACCAGTCTCTCGTCCATCATCCTTTGTCATGGTGGCCACCAATGTTCCCTCTAAGCTGCAGTCTCTTGCCCATCATCCTTTGTCATGGTGGCCGGCCACCCAGAAGCAGGGAGCAAAGGCAATGGCTTTCCCCCACTGTTGCCCTTCTTTCCCCAAGCAACTAGTATTCTGAGGTACAGAATCAAACCCGGTTCTCCCAGATTAGAGTCCACACACTTAACCACTACACCAAACTGGCACCATACCTATCCCTCTACAAAATCCTATCTAAGCCAGTGGCCCTTGGTACAGTCTCTTACTGAATTCCACAGATCAATTGTACTGTAACTGAATTCCATATACTATAGTAGTTTGTCTCCAGTAACTACCCCCCATCGACCGCATTGCATGATCCCACTTTTTAAATGGAGGAGGGGTTCTATCAATTTCCCCCACACCTTACATCCTGGTACAGACCTCTAATTTCTCCCCTTTTTTTGGTTTCTTTTCTTGCATTCCGTTTGCGTGTGTGTGTGCGCGTGCCCATGCCTGGTGACGCCTACTGGGACATGGAGGATGTTCAGAGAAGTGGCTTGATAGCCTGCCTCTGCCTCCTGGCCCTGATATTTTCTGGATGTCCCCCATCCACATACTTGCCAGGGTTGGCCCTGCTTAGCTTCCCAGATCACAATTGCCTAGGCTAGCCAGGTCAGGGCATTTCTCCTCTTAGTTGTTCCCCCCCCCACACACACACACACACCGATTGCCTGGGCTAGCCAGGTCAGGGCATTTCTCCTTAGTTGTTCCCCCACACACTAGAAAGCCATAAACTCATTAGCTTTTCTTCATAGCTGTTATCTTCATCATTTTGCTTGCCTTTTTCTCCACCTTTCCCACCTTCTGGTCCGAATATCTTTTTTGGCATGGCATGACCAGAACTGTACACAGTATTCCAAATGCAGCTGCACTGTTTTTGAGTTTGCTGGACAAGAAGCCCTGCATCTTTTTATCAAAGAAATGAATACATGTACATGGATACATAAAGCTGCCTTATACTGAATCAGACCAGTGGTCCATCAAAGTCAGTATTGTCTCCTCAGACTGGAAGCAGCTCTCCAGGGTCTCAGATGGAGGTCTTTCTTATCACCTCCTACCTGATCCTTTTATTTGGAGATGCTGGGGACTGAACCTGGGAACTTCTGCATGCCAAACAGATGATCTACCACTGAGCCACACCCCTTTCTGTAGACACTGCAAAGTAAACAGCCACTAACAGAGCTTAGTCTCTTCATCTCACTGTTTTTCAGGTTGCTCACTGCAGAGATGTTCTGAAACATGGGGCACATGGCCAGCTTTAGCAATATGCTCTTAAGAAATGACCCCTAGTGTAAGAGGACAGATCAGAGCAGTCATCACTCTCTCCAATGGCACGCTCTTCATCTGAACTACAATCATACATCACAAGCAATGTAATTTTCAGCAGGGAGATAACTGGGTGGCTTTCAGGATTCTGAATCATCCAAGTAACTCCTTTCCTGTCCCCTTACACATACACACTTGTCACCTTGCCTGATCTAAGGACATTCGACACACATAGTTTCAGGCAAAATCCCCACTCCCCTGAACCCAAAACACCATTGTCAAACTGCCAAGAAAATCTGGTCTATGCAGAATCTTTTTTTAATAATGCCCCACAAATATTTGCAAGTATTTATTTTCCCCGCCACCTCTTCCCAAGCTGCTTCGTTAGAGGAGTGTGGAAAACTACTGTTGGGAGATTGAGATGCACAGGACAGTAACGGGGGATGGGGGCGGTGGTCTGCCATCTTTCAGCTGAGAAAAAGATCTCTTCCAAAATCCCACTTCACCCCAGGAAAAGCACATGCTGGTTCCACTTGATTCCCAGCGCCCTACCTTCAGTCCTCACCTTCCTCTTAGATCTATTTGCATGCCTAGCAACCGCCTCGTATTAAGCAAAGGGTTAAAGACTGCTATGATTCACTTGGTCAGTAAGCAGAAGTTCCATCTACTCCATGCACATTCCCATAATTCAGTGGGCACTTTTAGAGTTGCAGTTCTATTTCCAGGGAGGCCTAGGTTTGCATGAGCCTATAGCTCCTGATAACCTAGCAGATGGTGACCTTGATATGCCCTTTGAGCATGGCCTGGATCCTGGGGAAGCCACAGAGGCATCTGGGAGGCGGCGATCCTGCTGTCTGTTTATCCTTGAATCAGTCTCTGGTGGTTGGAATGTTTCAGAGGCACCATACACCCGCCTAACAGGCTGGTAGCCCATCCAGCCTAAGGCATCCTTGTTGTTCTCGTGTGAATTATTCTCAGGGTGCTTCCAAAAAGAGTGTTCTCTATATTGTGTCTCAACCCCCCCAGCCTGCTGAGATCTGGGTGTTTCTCGATGAACGACTCTCAACGGTTCCCCTTTCTGACAAGAAGGAAGCCTCGGATGGTTTCTGGAAGCGGAAGGCGGAGTCCAAATCAAAGTGCGAAGCTTAGCTGTATCCTCCTTCATCCAGGGAACAGATCCATCCTGTCCTCCTGACTTTGTGCCAAACAGTGTTTCGTCACAGTAGGATGCCGTTCGACTTTTCAGTCTTCAGGGAGAAATATAAACAGAAAACAGAAATGTTTATTCCCAAAGGGGCAATGGAGTGTTTTCACAGCAAGAGACTAACTGAGATAGTTTGCCAGCGCCTTCCTCTGTATAGCGACCCTGGTCTTCTTTTGTGGTCTCCCATCCAAATACCAACCAGGGCTGACCCTGCTGAGCTTCTGAGATCTGATGAGATCAGGCTAGCCTGGGCCATGCAGGTCAGGGCAAGGTACAAAGTTAGGAGAACAGTATTCAGTTATTTACTTACATTTACAGACTGACCCCATCGCAAAGGTTTTGGGGTAAACAGCTGTTGAAAGATCACATTAAAGAATCATGAGAGATCTCCCTCCTCCCCATCACTTCCTCTCTGATCCCCAGTAAAACGCCTACAGCAAGCTTTCCTGACCTTACAAGTTTATCTTTAATACAAATTTGGTAAATAATTTTTTTAAAAAATACAAAATTTGGGGTGCAGCATTCCAACTGGTTCATCAGTTACTCAACTAAAAACATTTCTGCTTACTAAAAAAGGTGGACCTGATGAGCTGGGCAACGTATACTATTTTTTTTTAATGTATTTTTAATATAATCTCTTATGAATGCTGCAAATGACCAATAATATCATTTTGGAAGAAGCATTCTCTCCTGTGATGTGGGAGGGAAGGTAGAATGCTTCTTTTGAGATGCCTGCTCTTGACCCATGAACAGCACCTAAAAACAAAGTATACTTCCCCCCCCCCTTTATCCCCTTTATGACTATTTCCTCATATGCAGATTGAATTAATTGGTGGACCAACTACAATGCGTATGATTAATGAACTCATTGGGGCCCTAATAGAAAGGCCAGAAAGTCAAGACATGCCAAAGCAAACACGATGCGGGGGGAAGGGGGTGCTATTAAATGCTCAATGGGGGTTTCTTCATGTACACATTTCCCTGACTCAGCCCAGCCTCTTCATCCTCATCTACAAACTGCATTCATGCAAATGAGCATGGTACAGAGGTTACAGGATCAGATGAGGACAAGGGAGGTGCAGGTTCGAATTCCCACTTAGCCACGAGGTACAGTAAGTGAAGGAGCTGCGGTGGCTCAAGTGGTTAAGACGCTGAACTACAGGCTGTGGAAGGTCATTAGTTCAGCAGTTCGAGACCCGAGTGTGCCGCATGATGGAGTGAGCTCCCATCTCTAGCTCCAGCTCCTGCCAACCTAGCAATTCAAAAGCAAGAAATTGCAAGTAGATAAATAGGTACCACTTCGGTGGGAAGGTAACAGCGTTCCATGCGCCTTGGTGTTTAGTCATGCCGGCCACATGACCACGGAAACGTCTTCGGACAGCGCTGGCTCTTCGGCTTTGAAACGGAGATGAGCACCGCAACCCTAGAGTCAGATTCGACTGGCTTTCGAGCAAGGGAACCTTTACCTTTACCTTTACAATAAGTGATCTTGGGCTAGCCACACTCTCAGCCTAGTCTACCTCACAGGTAGGATAAAAATGTACATGGAGAAGCCAGCCTTAATTACATTCATTTTGGGGGAGGGGCACCATCAGGGTCATGGCACTGGGAAAAGGGCAGTTTTAAAACTTCCCCTCTGGACCATTTCCATGATCAAAAATAACCCTAGTTTATAATGGCGAAAATTACAGATTCCCTGAAGAGAGCGGTTAACAGTGATACTCCTACTTACACCAAATTTGTTAGGATCTGGGCCCCAGTGTTAGACTATATGGTAACGAATGATATACTCCCAGCTAAGCAGATTTACCATAAATGGTTATATTTATAGAGTTTAGCAGGTATTAGAGCTGTATGGTGTGTGGATAGTTGTCAAATGGTTAGTAATGATCTTAGTTGCTATATGTAGAAATCTAGAACCAATATGTGTCATATGTATTGTATTTTATGATTCTAATAAAATGCTGCTGTGAGACAGCCTGTCAGGTCAGAGAGACAGTCTTGAGAGACAGTCTTGGTACAGAGAGAGACGAGAGACAGAGCTGTTCTGCAGCTTCAAGAAATCTGTTGTCGTGATTTGAACCCTGGTCAAAGTCAACAGAAAACGTATATTATAGCTGTCTATAGTTATAATTCTGTAGTTCTGAAGAAGTGAGCAGTGAGTTTTTAAGGTGCCACTGGACTCCTGCTCTTTTCTACTACAGTTTTATGCATCCATGTGTATTAATTCCCTCCCCCATTACCCAGCAGCTCAGTCCTCTTCCAGATCTCCCTCCATGGGTGCTGTGGAGGGCCAAAAACGAACATGAGACTCCCAACAACATCCTATGCAATTTACAAATCAGACAGCCAGGCTGCCAAATTTTGCTTGAAGAGAGCAGCCTGGCTGCTTTGACTTCCGTGAGATTCTTTGGGAAGAACCTTGCTGAATGTGCCCTCATTGCAAGTGGATGGATCCCTCCCAGATTCCCCATACCTGTACTTGTTTTTCTTTCTTGGAGTGCTGGGTGGTACAGGGGCTTTCGAAGAGCCAGCGTCAGCCTCCCATTGTGTTGCTGCAGGGCTCCACAGCAAGGGTCTCCGGGGTCCAGGCTGCTTCTCCACCCACGGGGGATCAAATTCCTCAACTGATGACTGGCGCCCTGCATGGGAGCCAAATAGGGTTTCATCCACATAGGAGGCTTTGGCCCTATAGCTGTTTCTGCCCCTGTGTTGCACCTGAAGGGGCTGAATTCCCGACACTGCCAGCTCTACAGAGGCCTTCATGGAGTCCAGCTGCAGAAGGTGCCATGCAGGACTGCAGGCGGCTAGAAGCACAGGATCCAGATCAGTGTGAACAACAATTCACTGGTGAATGGAGACCGAGTGACACAACAGCAGCTGTGTTTGAAGAAGAGAAGAGATTGGATTTATACCCCACCCTTCACTATCCAAAAGAGTCCCAGAGAGGCTTACAATCCCTTTCCCATCCCCTCCCTACAGCAGGCACCCTGTGAAGTAGGTGGGGCTGAGAGCTCTCTTGAGAACTGCCCTTGAGAGAACAGCTCTGAAAGAACTTGTGACTGACCCAAGGTCACACCAGCAGCTGCATGTGGAGGAGTGGGGAATCAAACCCAGTTCTCCCAGATTAGAGTCCGCGCTCCTAACCACTACACCAAACTGGCTCTCTACAGACCATCGCTTTATTTATTGAAAGGTTTATTCAAATATTTGTACTCTGTGTTTTCTCTCCTAAAAGGGACGAAGGTGGCCTAGAAATGAAGAATACTGCTATGGGTTTCTATAGACTTGCTATAATGTTTGCTAAACATGAAATTCTGCATGAAATGTCCCAGGCTCCTGATGTGATTCTTTGCAGCCAGGCCTTTCACACACATGCAATCAAATGCTGGCAAGACGGTATGTATGTGTAAAGGCTTGCTGACACTTAGTGCCGGGGAAATAATCAGAATGCCAACTTTGGATGGACAACGCTTGGGCTACTTTGGAAGTACAGCAGTCTTCATTTTGTTAGTACCCCACCCTTCACTATCCAAAAGAGTCCCAGAGAGGCTTACAATCCCTTTCCCATCCCCTCCCCACAGCAGGCACCCTGTGAAGTAGGTGGGGCTGAGAGCTCTCTTGAGAACTGCCCTTGAGAGAACAGCTCTGAAAGAACTTGTGACTGACCCAAGGTCACACCAGCAGCTGCATGTGGAGGAGTGGGGAATCAAACCCAGTTCTCCCAGATTAGAGTCCGCGCTCCTAACCACTACACCAAACTGGCTCTCTACAGACCATTGCTTTATTTATTGAAATGTTTATTCAACTATTTGTACTCTTGTGTTTTCTCTCCTAAAAGGGCCGAAGGTGGCCTAGAAATTAAGAATACTGCTATGGGTTTCTATAGACTTGCTATAATGTTTGCTAAACACAAAATTCTGCATGAAATGTCCCAGGCTCCTGATGTGATTCTTTGCAGCCAGGCCTTTCACACACATGCAATCAAATGCTGGCAAGACGGTATGTATGTGTAAAGGCTTGCTGACACTTAGTGCCGGGGAAATAATCAGAATGCCAACTTTGGATGGACAACGCTTGGGCTACTTTGGAAGTACAGCAGTCTTCATTTTGTTAGAGCGGGCCTTTGGTAAAGCATTCAGCGAACTGCACAGTTGGGACATGAGCATGAACTCAATCTTTTCAACATGGGGAAAGCATGGAGTGTTCTTCCTCCCACTCTTTTCTGCCATGAGTCTGCCTCATTACAATGTGTGAGCAACACATCAGCTCCTCTCCTGAATGCAAGGAAAGCGGTGATTTTTTTCAGCTCTTCTCCGCAGTATGCCAGAGAAATCAGCACAGTGCAGCCTGAGGCTGAATGCCTAAGCAAATTTAGGTTGCGATCTTCAGAATGAAGAGTAAGCCGCCTCATTGGATAAAATGCGACTTATTTCAGAGAAGACCTGCTTAATTCAGGAGCAAACTTCACTAGGCTCAGGCAGGGCTTATTGCCACATTAACATGCATTGGATCCGGCTGCAATGTTGCACACGGTCGCTTGGCAATCAACCCCGCTCCCACGCCACGGGCTTTGCTTGCGAGTAAACATGCCGACGAGCAAGCTGCAAAGCTGGAGCTCGGTCACAACTGCCTTCCGAGTAAACATGCAAGAGACTCGGGCTACACAAGTACCCCACATCTGCGCATTTATTTTTAAATTATTTGCAACCTGCTGTGTCCTTGGGAGACCCGGGGGGCAAGAATTAAAAAAGTCTCTGCAGCTGCACAGCTAAAGGGGCCCCTGGGTTTACGGAGGACCGCGCCTTCCAAACTCCGCAGGCTCCCCAGCGCCACCCCAAGACTCAAACAGGCGCGTCTCCCCTATCTTACAGAGATGCAGTTTCTCCTCTGCGGAGGCGATCGTTGCTCCCCTCGAGCAAGTCGAAAAGCCAAAGAGAGGTGTATAACTCAGAGTTCCACACACCCGTCACTTCCGATCCCGCTTATATTTTCTGGAATGCAATCCAAAAAAGGTGGGAAAACTTAGAAATGGCTGTAACTTAGAAACACCACCTCCGACAAAATAGGCGGATTGAATCAAAATTTATGCCCTGCCGTGAGAGCACAGAGGCCATGCTAATTTTTTTTAAAAGCCACCCTTCTCTAAACTTTTCAGGAAGATTATTTCAAAGCACCGCTACACAAAAGGAAGACACTAGTCCTTTCTTTTAGTATATTTTCTTCACTGCACTGATTTTTATGCATTTCTTCCTTTACACTTGCCCCTCACATGAAGGACTTACCCTGTCCAATTGATTCAGGTGGATAGCCGTATTAGTCTGAGGCAGCAGAACAAAGTTTGAGTACAGCGGCACCTTTAAGACCAACAAAGACGTATAAGCTTTCGTGTGCACGTACACTTCTCCAGATACTGGTCAGTTGAGAACCTGACGTGGTTTTGAAACACTAGAGATTATTGTCTCTAAAGGAAGGCGAAACCACACCGAACGAAACCATTTTTGAGAGGGGGGTTAAGCCTAGTAGGAGGAGTCTCAAGCGCTTGAGTGACAGAACAGCCAGCTCTTCCTGGGAATGTACCAAAGGGGCGGGGGTAATTGGGCGGTCCACCTAACACCCCCGACTCTAGCGGTGGTTGAGTCCAAGCTCAGCCCTCTGCCGTCTTGAGGGACGCACGTGGTGTCCCCTTCCTGGTTTCCCGTCGGATTTTGGTCGGAAGGGATCGCGGCGGGTCTGTATTGGACCCAAACAGTTTCTATGGCCCCCCTTCAGGCCTCGGGACGGAGGAGGAAAAGACAGCGGCGGTGTAAGGATCATGATTTAGACCCGCAACAGGTACTGAGAAAGCCAAGGATTTGTTATTATTTTTCAATTCGCTAAAAGAGAAGTGCCGGGACTCCCGCCAAGCAACCAGTTAGCCTGTATATTTTTGCCATGGAAGGTGCCGCATTTGACCTGGAAGTGATTTACTCGGTAGTAAGCCCTATTGAATGTAACGGGTCTTGCTTACGAGTAGCAACGTTGTTGTAAACACACATATATTTAGGTAGAAATAAGCCTCTGGTGCGTTCAGTGGGGATTATTTCCAAGTTACTTCAAGGATAGCATTTCTTTGAGAAGATTCTACCTTACCTTTCGCTAAGGTGGCTTGTAAAAAGATGTAAAAACCAAATTTATAACAGCAAAAACAGTTTAAATCCCAAATCAGCATCAGTGGTGAACCTGTACACACAATCCAAAAGAGGCTGGTTTGTCACCTAGTTCATCGGTAGGGCCACTGCCTATAGAAAACTGCTCAGAAGCACCAGTTATACTAACATTCAAACCCTTTATTAATTGCATATTCTGTCATTTTTAAAAAAGAGATGCTAATGTTTGCACTGGTAAAGCATAACAAGATGGTTCAGCTTCTTGTTCCTCCGTATCTGGTGCTTGCTTCTCTCTCAACTCCCTTTCTTCAAAGGACTATGAGATGCCAGTGCCGACCTTCCCCACATCTGATTGTGCTTCTGATGTTGAACCAGACACCCGGGAAATGGTTCGGGCCCAGAACAAGAAAAAGAAGAAGTCGGGGGGCTTCCAGTCCATGGGTGAGTGAGGGATAACTGTGTCTTAATTGTTTTGTGTTGGCTGATCTGGGATAGGGTGACACATTGTGCCCTTCCCTGGGGACATAATAGTCTATATTTTCCAACTTGGACCAAAATTTATTCTTGTTCCAGGCGATGGAGCAGTACTTCCTGCAAACAGCCTCAGATTTCTGTTTAAACACTTTTACCATTTGGGGGTATTGTGTAGCCCCTTACATTGAAAGGAGGGTGGAGTTCCTCCCTTATAAAGGATTGGTCCATCCATGACTATTAGCCACCATGATGGATCAGTGGAACCTCTGTGTTCAGAGGGTGTACACATCTGAATACCAAGTGCTTGGCGGGGGGGAGTGATGGGAAGGCTTTGGCCTCCATCTCCCAGATTATGGTCCTTGCAGGGCATCTGTTGGCTGCTTTAGGCAATAAGATCCTGCACTAGAGAGTTCCATCAGTCTGATCCTGTGAACTGTTTTCTCTGCCAGGTTTGAGCTACCCAGTGTTCAAAGGGATAATGAAGAAAGGCTACAAAGTGCCTACCCCAATCCAGAGGAAGGTGAGTGTTGGGCAAACCTCATATTTCAGGACACAGTGTCTGTTTTGTAGCATAGACACTATGGAGGCAGTTTCCTAAGCAGTTCTGTTGTGGCAGGGAGGGGGCGAAGAGAGGAGGGGCGGCAGCAGTATGTGGGGGCAAAGGCGGAGAAGGGAGTGGCTGGGATACCTGAAACCCATCCTTAAAACAGTGGCTTATTGATGCATATTAAAAATGTTTTCAGCTGTCCATCCTAAACTTGCTTTACTGCCTTTCGGTCGGTAGCTGATCTCCCAGTATTGTGGCAGGAGTTTGCAGCTTTTATAGTATCCCTGAGCTGCACAGTGAGTATTGGATCTGCCACTCACTACTGAAATTAAGCCTTTATTGGCTGCTGAAAACTGTGCACTCCACCTTGAGGCTGGGTGAGAAAGGCAAGCTATAAATTAAAATTTTAAAGTAATGGAGCTGGCCTATGTGGGATATATAGGCTGCAGCATTCAATTTGAAATGGTAGAATTCAGAAAACAGTATTTTCTACCCCCTTGATTTTTGCTGGTTGTATGAATTGTTTCTTATTCCCAGATTATTATTTTTTTGCCTTATTTACATGGGGCGGCCTTCTCTTACAGGCTATTCCACCCATCCTGGATGGCAAGGATGTGGTTGCCATGGCAAGAACGGGGAGTGGGAAGACAGCCTGTTTCCTCATTCCCATGTTTGAGAGGCTAAAGGCACACAGTGCAAAGACTGGGGCCCGGGCTCTCATCCTCTCACCCACTCGAGAACTTGCCTTGCAGACTCTGAAGTTCACCAAAGAGGTACGCTAAGCATGGAGGACGTTGGGGCTGGTGATGAGTAAAAAGAATGGGCCTTCAAAACCTGCTTGTCAATCCCAAGCCTCTCTCCTGAGGCTTCAAAGAGCCATGTGTGGTTCGTGTGCTGTTGGCTAGTGGAACATCCTGCCACTTTATTTCTGTTAAGTGCTTAGCAAGACTCAGACAGGCATATGGTGATGTAACATCTAATACGTATCCACGATCCTGAGGATCTGTAACCCAGAGATAAATTCTTTTAAACGCAGCTATTCAATGAAATCTCAGTATCATGAAAGACACAAACAGCACAGATTTGTAAAAGATCCAGTCAGTATAATGTCACCTCCATCTCCCTCTAGTGATCCAAGCCATTTCTTAAATAAGGAAGTGTTTGGCAGACTACTTTTTTTTTTTTTGGAATAATTTTTTATTTCATGACATACAACAACAAACATACATAACAACATACATAGGGGAATACAACTGTATTTTCTTAACACTATCTTTGACTTCATGTTCTAATTTTTAAGCATCTTATTTTTTCACCTTATAAATTTACTATTTACCTTTTATTAATAGTTAAATATATGTTTCTTGGTTCTTTTAATTGTGGTTTGAAATCCAAAAGTTCACATTTTTGGCAGACTTCTGAAAGTGAGCTTGAATTGGATTGTTTTCCCTGGGGCAGGGAGTTTCATAGAACTGGGAGGATCCTTCATGCAATTCATGGGAGGACCTATAGTTTAGGTCCTGGTGTGAATTTGTCCAGGTAAAGAACTGGAGGCCACAGGGCTCAGAAGCCCTCTGCCAGAGACACTGGACTGTCGCTGTCAGATGAAGTAACTAATTCTGCTCTAGATGGACCAGTGGTCCAACTCTTGAGTATTTCTAGCTGGAGGCTCTGGATAAGTTAGCTGTTTGTGGGATTGCCAGTAGCTGCAGGGGGGAGGCACCCAAAGCAAAACCTCTTCCCATGTTCCTGTTGGCAGAAATACATGCTTCACCATGCTGACGGGGTGGGGGGGAGAATTGGGTATTAAGATTTCTAAAAACGCAGCATTTTCAGAGGTGTATTTCATGAGTCACTGATGTTGGAGTCAGGGTAGCACGTTAGCCGCTGATTCTGGGATGTGTACAGTGAAGCTGGAGGAGTGGATTGGGATGTTAAAACAGCCTAAGAAAGAGTCAAACTGAGCAGTCCTGGCAGCATCACCAGCACCAGAAGGCTGCTCAGTTTGGACCTGGGCAGTGGTGGTGTAGGAGGAGGCAATGGACAGACCTACAGCTGTGGTTGCCACCATTGGCCGGGCCAGGTTGTGGCATGTTCTGCAGCCTTCTTGCTCAGCTTGGCCACCACTGGATCTTCAAAGCAGTGACCCCACTGGGTCTCTTTCCAGTAAGCCAAGAGGCCAGTTCACACCTGGAGACTAACGATCCATGCACTGTATCACCTTTTAATGGTGCATTTGCCTCCGTGGCAGTAGCAAGTCTGCCGTCAGCTGACATTCTTTTCCAGCCAGAAGTGTTACTTATTGTGCGCTGTCTGCTGAGGTTTGAGAGATGCAAACCTGTTTCAAGGAATTATGCAGTAGAGCTATGGCCACTTTAAAAACAAAAATTTCCATAACATTTTGTTGTTGTTCTGCGGGTAGACAGCAAAGGCTAGCTAAGAGTGGCAGATGTGACCCTTTTTAGAGTTTGACAGTAAAACAGCAATGCTCCCAGGACTCTAGCCTAACTCTCCTTTGTCTGATGTTGCAGCTTGGCCGGTTCACAGGCCTGAAGACTGCCTTGATTCTTGGAGGAGACAAGTAAGCGTTTGTGTTTAGACCTGTCCCATCATCATGGACTTGAATCGCTTGAGATGGTAGAAGGAGCCCTGTTGGATGCGATCCAAGGCCCACCTCACCCAGTAGCCTCTGTCCAGGAGTTCCAAGCCAGTTGCCATGAGTGGGGCACAGAGTCAACCAGCTCTCTCTTCCTGTTTGTTCCTAGCATATAGGATTCAGGAGTATATTGCCTCTGAACATGGATGCTCCATTTTGCCAGGGGAATGTAGTGATGGCTGCAGGAATAACTAGCTTTGGGGGTTTGTCCCAAGACTCCAGCTGTGTGTAGGTACCAGGGTGGCCATGGTTGCTCCATAGGTTTTAAAAAGGTATTAGAAAGGTTCATGGAGGATAAGTTTATCAATGGCTAGTAGCCATGCTGACTGAGGGGAACCTCCACATTCAGAGGCACTAATCCTCTGAATCTCAAACCCAGGAGGCAACATCAGGAGACGGTCTCAGCCTCTGTGCCCTGCTGTTGACCATCCAGAGGAACTGATTGGCCACTGTGAGAGACAAGATGCTGGACTAGATGAACCACTGGTCTGATCCAGCAGGGGTTTTTTTCTTGTCTTAGCTGTCATGGTGAAATATCCACTGAGAGAATTTTTTGGAGTCTCTGAAAGTGCTAGATAAAAACCAATTAAATAGAATAAGTCTTGGGAACGGAAAGAGTCCCCAAACCAGCAAATCTAATACGGCCTTCCCCCAACCCCCCAAACTAGCATAAAGGCATATGGGGAAATGATATTTTGGGCAGCTTCAACTGTGCCACTTCAAAATCTGGGTGGAGGATCCCCTTTTTGGAATGTTCCCTTTCATTTAAAGGAAGTGCTTGTGAATAGAAAACCAGCAGAAAAGGGTGGGTAGAACCTTTCCCCCCTGCTATGCTAGATTTCTGGTTATAGGGAGTGTTTTATGCCAAGGGACACTCATAGCTGGAATCTGTCACTGGGCACAGTGAAGTGTTGCACCTCATTCTCCTGCATGTCTGAACCAGGCCCCAGTGTGATTGTGGCTTTCTGGTTGAGAGAGGGAAAAGAAGTGCTATAGCTGTAACCCTTCAGATCTGCCGTTTTCTTTTCCAGGATGGAAGACCAGTTTGCAGCGCTGCATGAAAATCCTGATATGTGAGTCAAAAAAAAATTCCTGCCTCTGTGCGTATGTATGGTTTTTGTCTGGGGGAGGGGGGGATTTCTCTTTCCTAGCTTTGGGTGGAGACAAATCACTTAGGATCAGATCTAGGTAGCTGGGGCTGTCTTGAGACATATCTGGGAGAGGATTGGGGTTGCTCCTTGTATCTGTCAATCTGAGGCGAGGTTTTAACCTGGGTCCTAGTCTGACACTGTGCCACACTAGTCTGTCCTTACCTTGCCGCTTTAGGGCAGTTTTCTTGCGCTGTGACTTGTGTTGTACTACTACCACCTCTGAGGTTTGCGGCTGTCTTCGCATGGGTGCAAAAAGGGGAGGGGGATTCAATTGCAGCCTCCTCAGCATCTCATATAGTTTAGTCCTGAGGAGTAAACCTATGTCTGGATTATACCACCTTGGACCACAGCTAGGGGCTGGCATGACTGAATGCCCCTCCATATTTAAAAAATCATTGCTCCTAGAAAGCTAGGTTAGAACTCTTCTTCTGACATGCTAGTTCCCCCCCCCCATGTGTAGGAGGGGGCAGCATTCAGTTGCCTATAGTCTGAAGTACACAGTCACTATTTGGGTCACTTGTAAGAACTATACCCCCTCCTGCAAGGGTGTTAGATTCGCTGCCTCCCTGCTCTGGATACACCTTGGGATTAGTTCTCATAGGCAGGCAACAGGAGAGAGAGAGAGAACTCCTCTTCTCCTTACAACAGCAGTCACTGTGTCTGTCCCCACGTGCTTCCCCCCGCAGAATCATCGCCACTCCTGGCCGCCTGGTTCATGTGGCTGTGGAGATGAAACTCAAGCTACAGAGTGTGGAATACGTGGTGTTCGATGAAGCAGACAGGTCAGTTTTGGTTCTGTTGTCCAGATAAGAACATAAGAGACGCCAATGTTGGATCAGGCCAAAGGCCCATCCAGTCCCAACACTCGGTGTCACACATGGCCAGAAAATACCAGGTGCCATCAGGAGGTCCACCAGTGGGGCCAGGACATTA